GAGAGCTGCTTGCTCTCATCGAGTTTACGTTCAGGATGACAAGGTCTTGCTTGTCATCTTGGTTCTTGCACCGAGAATGAATCTCACTGGGGATTGCAGTCCTCAGTGTCGCGTGTCCAAGGTCGACACGCGGAACTGCATTACCAGTAGGGCGCCCCGCGCCTACTGGCGTCCAGCGTTTTTTGTTTGGTTGCGACGGTGCCCGGCACCGGCGCGATAGCCACCCTGCTGGTGCACGGGGGCCGTGCACTCCCGAGCACCGAGAGGTCCATGGGTTCGGGGCCTCCCGTCCTCACTACCGGGCGTGGCTGTGGCCTCGGCACATGTGCAGGCAGCTTAGCCTGCCGCAGGCTAAACTCCTCCTGCATTGCAAGGGTGATTGCAGCTTCGAGAGTACTCGGGTACTCACGGAAGAGATTGGTCTTCACAGGCCAATCTCTCAGTCCCTTCATGAACGTGACGACCTTGGTCGCCTCGTCGATCGGATTGGTCACGATGTTCGAGACCAAGTACCGTGCTCTCTGAGCGTAAGCATGGACATCATGCTTGCCCTGCTGCAGGTCGAGGAACTCCGCCCTCGACCGGAACTCGTTTTGCGGGGGCTCAAATGCTTGTCTGAGCTCTTCCGTGAAACCCTCGTACGTGCTAAAGCACGTAGGATCCGAGAGTCGGCGTCCATACGCCCAACTTCTTGCACGTCCGCCAAGACATGAAATGGCGAACGCGACCTTCGACAACGGGTCGACGATACGTCGATACGTCGAGCCGCAATGGCAGTGTCGAGTTCGACAAGCCAACGGAGGAGGGGTTCACCCTCTCTTCCGACATAGTTACTCACATTGAGCTTCAGCGATTGCGCGCGTGATGTCGTCCCGGACGGCACCGCGGTAGTAGCAGCAACATCGCGTTGCTCCTTCAGGATGAAGCCCAGAGCAACACCGTGTTGCTCTGTCGGCGTTAGCGTACGCAGCATCGTAGCTACAGCCGCCTCACCAATGACTGTTGACAGTCGTTGGAGAGCCTCCCACTCTGGATCCGACAGGTGGGGACAGTCAGCGCGTGCAACGTGAGTTGCAGGCATAGTGGAGCTTTCCATGGGCACCTCTGTATCCATGGGAAGGTTCTCAGCTCCGCGTTCGTGCGGTGACGTACGAACTCAGGTAGTCGGTCGTTGGACGGACTACAAAGTGCTACCAGGTGTAATGGGCCTACTTTGGCCCACTACTTTAGCTTACACGTGTGCGCGTGTATGTGAGGAAGCGTATCCTAGTTTAAATTAGAGTTAATTATACTCGGGCCTCCGAGTATAGATTAATCTAAATAAACGATCCAAATAATATTTTTGGGTTAAAATGAGAACTGCTATTTTTGTTTTATGTTTCTGACTTCCTCTAAATGTAATATTCTAAGATAGGAATCTACCAACGGCTGGTTAGCAGGATTCCAATGCTATGCATGTCGCTCATTGGCTAAGAGATGCTGCTCTCAGCCAATAGGAATCCAAAGTCTCTATGGACCACCCGTCGTGGTGGTCGTAAATGTATGTAGTCTTTGGTCTGTCTACACCAAGGTCGAGAAAGTCTTTCGAACCTCTAACAGACATCGTGTTTGTTGGAGTAACAAGTGACTGTAGCCACTTGTGCGTGTAACCCTGTTACATATGCTGGAGGTAAACGGAGGTAAAGGAGGTTGAAGGAGGTTGAAGGAGGTTCTTCAAGGTTTTTAACGGGTAGGTTTGTTAATGGAGGTTAGCTTAACTGAAACGGCAGGCCTATTAGACATCTGATTTGCGTCCGTCGGAACCACTCGATCTTGATTAGACGTCCCCTGTCGCATCGACCGAGCATGGTCTTCCAAATATTCTGTGTCGCAGACTGGAATTTCGGCCTCATAATCACCCGATGGTCTCTCCGATCCCTGCGACGTGGCGAAATCATGGCGCGATTCTCCCGCTCTGAATACGTCGCTGTCCTTGGGCTGCTCGTCTCTGCCGGGCGTCGGGTGAGACGCGGTAGGGTTGCCGTACGACTCTTCCGGGCTGGAATCGTCGGGGCTCTTGGACGACACGCACTCAGTGTGCACGGTGGCCACCTATCCTCCTTTCGCTGGCCGGGTCAAGATTGCCGTCGGCGTTGTGTACTGCGGCCGCTCCACAGCAGGCACCTGCACGTCGGTGGACTCAGACACGTCCTTGGTAGCGTCGGTGGTTGCTTGGTGCGCCAAGTTCTGCCACCCAGCATACCTGCGCGATCCAACGGAGCCATACCCCGGTAAGCGCGGCACTCGATCTCCGGACAGCCACATCGCGAGTCTTGTACCCTGATGCAGCACTAACTTGCGATCGCTCACGTTTGCCAGTTGATCCTTCCTGGGCCACCAGTCACAGTAGGGACCCATCAATCACCGCGCGTAACCCAGCGTTTCTGATGCTCCGTTGATCTTGTGCGCAGATTCACCTCAGCGGATCCCGCGATGTCGATCTCGCGATGACCGGTCAAAGTCACCTGTTCCACCTTGTCTCCGTAGAGCGGACATCTTCCTGCGAGCTGGATCCGCACCTCGTCCGGCAGGCAGATTGTTCCGTCGGCAAGATCGAGGAGAATACCCGCCGGTACCATAAAGTCCATGCCGAGGATTAAGTCCTGACCGCCGGTCGGCGGACCCACCCACACATCGAATAAATACACGAGTGATCCAGCGAGCGTGATCTTGACCCGTGCGCGTCCTTCCGCCATGTCTGGAGATTTTCCAACGCCTTCACACTCCAATGTCTGCCTTTCGTCAATGCAGCACCCCATCTTATGAGCAAAGGCGTATACGGGAAATCCAATGGTACCACTGGCATGTGCCAGAGTCGGGTCAGTTATCCATTATTTGATAGCTGCTAGTTTTGGGCATACGAAGGTTACGCTTTGGGAGTCGCCAGTTTATCCGTATAAAATACAATTGTAGTAGAATATGAAAAGCGGTGAACATAGTAGTACATGACGAATATGTGGTAGCATTCATAGTGTAAGTATAAGTTGATGGGTAACAGTGGTAACAAACCAAATTATCTACCTTTCAGTCGATAATAAACCAATTTATGTACCATAATCCAAAATATCTACTTAAATGTAATTTAGATTAGGTATGCTGAAGTATATGGTTAGAACTATATCGTTGTTTATTATTTATAGTGGAGTGAGTGATTGCGGAAGATAGTATGGTAAATGAGGTGGATATATGTGGTAGATTGGTGGGTATGTGGTGGGAAGTGAGTGTTTTGGTTGGGGTGTGTGGACAATGAAGAGAAGTAGACTGTAAGGCAGAAAGAAGTAAGGTGGGAGTTGGATGGAGTTGGTTCGTGTAAAAAGGTAGGGTTTCAAAACGATGCGTGTGATAGAATATATGTGGCTGATTGGTGGGAACAAAGTTAAAGTTAAAAAAATGGTTGGTGAGAGTTAATGTGGGTGGTGGTGAGAAATAGATTGTTGGATGGGAAAAAGAAAAGTGGTAGTTAAATGGGATCGGTTGATAGGAAAATGGATTACTTGATAGGCTTGAAAACCTAGATAGGAAAATGGCGTGGGGTGTACAAATCAGATGTGTGTAGAGGATTAAAGCGGTTGTTTGGTAGACATGATGTTGTAGAATGATGTTTAAGTTGGGGGATAAGATTGAAATTGGTAGTGAGAAACGGAGTGTAGGTTAAAGAAAAAATGTAATTAAAAGCAATAAAGGATGAAGTGGGTAAACAAGGTGTGTGGCAAAAGATAGACGTGGTTGGTCAGTATATGATTAGGTTGGAGTATGTAATAGAATGGGAGGAAGCAAACGACGTTGGGTGAGAATATCAATGTGGTGATAAGTGGATTGTAGGATAGGGAAAAGGAAGGCGATGGTTGGATAGATAGGGTGGATACGATATGACAAGTGGATAGTGAGGTTGGAAAAAGGAGTGTAGAGATGGTAGAGGAAAGTGTGTTGTAGGATGAAGAGAAGGGGTTCGTGGTTAAATTGAGGTAGTTGATGTGGAATTAGGTATGTGATGGGCGAATGGGGTGTGGAAAGTAGGCTTGCGATGTTTGAATGATGGATATGAGGGTAAACGAGGTTGGAAAATATGAGAGTAGAGGTGGTAGAAAAGGTGGGTTGTTAATTAAAACGAAAGAGCGAGAGGGGTGGTTAAATGGAGGTAGAGGGTGTGGAAATAGGTATGGGATATGGTATGTGTGTGAAAATGTAAAAATGAGGTGTATGAAGTAGCATAGATGTGTTTTGTTTGGAAGTGTATAATAAAGTAGGAGGTGGGGGTGGTGGTGAAAATGAATATAGAAAAAAAGATAGATGTTGTTGAATAGTGGAAATGAGGTAAAAGGTGGATAGATTTGGTTAAATTGTGGATATAAGGTGAAATGTGAATAACGAGGTTAAGAAATGAGAGTAAGGGTGGTAGATAAAAGTGGTTGTATGATGAAGCGAAAGGAGTCGGTAGTTGAATGAAGTCAGTTAAAGTTGAATTAGGTGTGGGACGTGCGAATAGTGTGCGGTAAGTAAGGTAGAGGTGAATGAATAGTGAATGCGAAGTGTAAAATGGATAATGAGGTTGGAAAATGAGAGGGGAGGTGGTGGAAAAAAGTGAATTAAGAGGAGGTATGCGGTGGTTGAATGAAGATAGTTGATGTAGAAGTAGGTGTGGTTTTTGTAAATGAGGTGGGTGAGGTGGTTTAATGGTGTATATAGAATGTAAAAAGGATATTGATGTTGAGAAAAGAGAGTAGAGAAGGTTGATAAAGTGGGTTGTAGGATAGAGAGGAGGGAGGTGGTAGTTAAATAGAATTATTTGTTGTGGAAGTAGGAATGTGGTATGTAAATAGTGTATGCGAAGTAGGATATGTGTTGTTGGATGGTGGATATAAGATGAAAAGTGAAAATGAGGTTGGAAAATGAGATAGAGGTGGTGGATAAAGTTGGTTATGTATTAACCCTATTGTGGTTGGTAGAATACAAGCAAGAAACAATGGACGTGGGTGTGGGAAGCGGACATACAAAGCAGTTGCAATCGGATGATGGATGATGTCGACGAATGGAAAGCCGCCAAAGTTAAAGGGTGCAAACTCAGCATTGCTGAGTTTGTGCACCATAAATACAAGAGAAGCACAGGAGCTACAGCTGGGGCTTCAGGCCGTTGCTTCTTGGAAGCATTCCATTCATCGCTGTACCTGTTTGGGCTTGGGGGACTGGTAACGGTCGAGCTTTGGAATGCGTACGCTCAAGCTTCCAAGAAGGATTTTTCGGAAGGCGTCACCACTGGAGAGCAGGTTGAGTTCTACAGGTTTGCCTGTTCATAGGGTGTGAAGGTCAACTTTATCACAGCGACGAAGAACCTGCTGGAAACAGCAATTCCATCGATCGAGAAGCTCGAGAAGCTATTAAGAAAACTTGATCCCGGGGTCTACGTCGTTCATGCCGCAGAAGATCTGGTAGATGCGTCGGGGAAGCCACGTATCTCCGATTGCTTTGATGAGTCCAAGTCTCCGCCGTGTGAATTGGGGTCGCTCTCAAACTTACTATGGCTCAACAATGTTATATCAATTCGACGCATCGAGAAGACCGCTGTTCAATTCAGGTACTGGGTTGTCTGCTCTGCCTGCAGCAAAACTACGAGCTCCTCAGTGACTTTGCCCACCATCTCTGGGGCGCCATCCGTCAACAACTCCCGAAAAGCTCCAAACTTCAGCACGACGTCCTCCATCAGAAAAGCTGCCACGTTTTCTGCTGTATGCTGACGCACACATCTCGCCACCGCATATCTGGTGACGTACTCTAGCGCGGCGATCACGTATCGCTCACCACCATCCGCTACGGGGAACGGTCCGGCGACATCCAAAGCCCACCGGTCGCCCACGTCACCTCCTCGAATACTCCTCAGTGGCGGAATCACTTCCCTTAGTCGCGCCTCCCGACTGTCGCACTCCTGGCAGTCGCGCACCCACCGTCCAACCTCACGTTGAAGTCGAGACCACCAGTATGACTGCGCTACTCGCCCATAGGTGTGTGGTCCCCGTAGATGGCCCGCCCATACTGAGCCGTGCATCTCCTTGAAGACAGCGGACCACAGCACCGGTGGCAGCAACACTCGCCTACCGTGCTGGGTCACGATCGTGACCAGGCCATGCGTGCGTTCGATCCTCATGCCTCGACACTGCCCTTCCACCAGGAGGCGCTGCACTAACTGGCTGCGCGCCTGTGCGTCCGCCTGATGGACTGTCAATGCCAGGAACCTCTCCGACTGTCGTAGGCGTCCCAGTAACGCTTCGACTTTCGCACTGACCCCGACTTGGTCTTGTAGTGCTGGTAGGGCTACGGCTTCTACTGGGTTTGTTCATGCTGCTACTAGCAGCATCACCGTGGACACTTCTCACAATCCTTGGGGCGCCGCAATTTTTTCGGCTCGGATGCGCGATGCTTTTCTCTGGATCGCGACGTGGGGGTTGCCATAAAAGCTCTCTCTAGAGCGAATTGGCAGCGCAGCCCACGCTCGTTTATGGGGCAAGAGTGTAGCAATTTCAGTGATTCACTTCGCTTAGCAGCAAAATGCTTGCTCGTATCCATCGATAGTTTTCCTTGGTAGCAGAGGGACTGGTATCTTCGTCAACCGATCGTCTAGGACTCCAGGCATTATCTTATGCTCAAGCGCTGCAATTTAAGTCAAATACTTCTTGGGGGTGAGAATTCATTGAGCCAGGTATTCTTCGCGGGGTGCCGGGAAATAGCATACACGACTCATCGTGCTCGTGCAGATGGTGTTGCATCAGTCGGTGTCACCTTGGGGGGGGGGGGCTCTTTTTGACACGAAGGCGGCTCTGCACCCCGCTGTACAGCCGTCGGCGGCTTGACCGACTTACACTTACAAAATGTATACTACCACACTTGCCCCATGTACTACTATGTACACCACTACTTTCCCGACGCCCAACGGCAGGTGAAGGCGATGTGATAGAGTGGCTACGATGGAAGCTTCAGGTCAACGTGAACTGACTGAATTTCTTGTGACGGTACCTATAGAATAGGCCGGTCTGGAAGCGATGGATATAACGGATGCTACAGAACAACCCAGACCAACCGAAGGGGATACCGCGGAAGGTGCAGAACAAGGCTTTGTGCTGATTTGAATACGACGGATTCTACAGAATAAGGCTGGCTGTTCGGAGGGTTGAGATGGAGTCTACAGAACAACAGATTTGTAGCAAACGTTTTAACAGCACCTCCAAATAACAACTTTACAGTAATGGTCGCATGGGGTGGAACGTGCTTGGTCGATAACATCGGAATCGGCTCCGAATTTTTTTTGACGGTACCGTGATGAAGACCAACTTTAATTGATACTAACAACTGGAATTCGTACCCCGAGAGTGGACAATGCGTTCACAATGCGTGCACTCCGAATGCACCTTGACGCCTATAGTATTTGACATGTTTAACGTTTGGCTGAAGAGTCACGGTGAAAACCCGCAGAATATAATGCCATGGCGATACCATTTGCACTATCAAGTCGCGATTATACAGAATAAGATTACTTGATTAAACTATACCTTAAAACCGCTGGAAGTATGCTATTGCAACCCCCTACAGGATGACGGTACAGCAATCGTGCACTTCCTGCACAAAATAGCTGCGAAAGTGAACAAAAGGTGAACAATGTATCCCAGTGCCCACTCACAGCGCCGAACCCCGACACCAGAACCGCGCGTACCTAAAGCTGCCGGCATAGCACTACCCTCGCCAGTCCGAGGGGCCGACCAGCGCAACGCCATGCTCAACAGGCTGTCCTTGGCCGCGGCCAGCAACCGCCTCCTCCAGCTCGTACAGTACCTACACCCGACATACAAGCACCCCCCCCCCCCCCGACATACAAGCACACACACACATACACACACAAAGGTCAGTGCCCCATTTGCGCTCTAATTTACGGCCACCGAGCCATTGGTGCCATCGCTAGGGGTCGTGTAGCCACTGGTGGTGCTGGTGGGCAAGGCGAGAATCGGGACCGAGGCCTTCTACGCGATTGCAGGCTGCGTGGGGTAGCTCATCGGATGCGTCCGGCCATGGTGATACCATTTGCGCTCTAATTTACGGCCAACGAGCCATTGGTGCCATCGCTAGGGGTCGTGTAGCCTCGGACCGAAAAGGATAGGAGTCGAACGACTATTCCTGGTGTCTGAATATATCAAGAAAATGGGCGGTGTAGACGTCCACGATCAAATTCGGTTCCAGCGCTACTCGCTCCAAAACCCAGTTGCCCTCCGGAAGTACTATAAGCAACTTTTTCTCGGCCCCGTGGACATGGCACTTATGAATGCATTTATCATCTACAAGTTCATGCAGAAGAAGAACGGTGAACAGGGGATCACACACGCGAAGTTCTTGCGCAAGTTGCATAAGGATCGGTTAGCTCTTCAAGCTTCGGACTTCACAACAACGGTTTCGGAAGACAGATATTCCGGTGGACAAGCTGATGTGGAAAGCCACAAACTCGAGCAGGGTCAAGAACGTTATTCAAACCAGAAAAAAACGACGCCAGTATCTTATACAGTATAACACACCATAAGGTGTGTTCAGTTTTCGGCGCGGGCAAGGGCTGCGAAACAATATTCACGTGCCTACATGCTCGGCAAAGTTTAATGAGAGAGTTGCACTTTGTAACACGGTTCGCAGGCTAGCAGCTGGCAATACTCTTACTGTACTTGCTCGCAAATATGGCATGATTTGTGGAATAATGGAACCCAATTGGCGCGGGATGTATCCAAACGGATCTGTTTCTGAAATGGGAAACACAAACGACCTGCTTCAAACACCATTTACTCGGTCGCGACCGTCTAATTCATGGAGGGCCAAGCCGTCTCCAAATCTCCTGCTGTGGCGAGTTGGATGGCTCGATGTTGATGTTTAGCGCTTGCCTCGGTTTTCAGCGCTAGGGTGGGCGTGAAGATGGCATGCGCAGTGAGGGGAGGCGTGGGCCCATGTTTCACAGCTGAAGCGATGTCGCCGTGCATGGTCGTGCGGGATCACGCTGGGTCGTGAACATCCTGATCCTTATTCGGCAGTATGATGAAGGTACCGACGATTCTCACGATGATATGAATGCATTTACTTGGGCTTTTGGGAATAGATAACTGCGCTAAGTATCGGGCTCCTCATGGCGTTGCACTGGTCGACCCCTCGGACTACGTCGTAGGTGGCGAGGGTAGTGCTATGCCGGCAGCTTTAGGTACGTGCGGTGCTAGTGTCGGGGTGCGGCGCTGTGAGTACATGGGGCAAGTGTGGTAGTATACATGTTGTAAGTGTAAGTTGGTGACATCAGTGTTTACAAGCGAAATACCGTGTATGGAGCAGGTTTGGGCGATTTTGAGTGGAATGTTGATAGTGCAAGAGCCGTTTGACGTGATATGACACGAGGCGGTCCCCAGAAAAATTGCCGACGATGTGCCGTCACCTCTGTGACCCAGAGTTTGTATCGGATGCTGATTGGTGGATGACTTGGATACGACGCGGCTGTACCCGTGTGACATGGATGGCGACTGTGGGAGAGAAGTGATTTCTCGGGATGAATCCAGCGTCTGACCGCAGATGGGCCCAACTGGCTGGAAGTGTGAATCCTGGGAGTGCACGCCCAGAATTTCAGAGAACACTCAGTCCAGCCGCGGACTTTCCCTTACGATGAGTGCCTAAAGTCTGGCGGAAAGTGTCTCTGGAGAATGTATCCCAGAGTACACCTCATCTTGCTGTGGCTCATAGAGTGCCCCAGAGGATCAAATTACCCTGAGAATCAACCCACTACTACCATGATCATGCGCAGGAGGCCGCTAAACCCACTAAAAGTGTGGCTTTGAGGAGATACACACGAGTCTGCACTGCAGCAGACTTGTTACCCAGAGTGCCGCACGGAAAACTAGAGTGCCGCACGATGAACCAGAGTTCACCTCCCTGAGTGCAGGTGACCCAGAGTTCCAAAGATGATTCTCTGGGTTTGGACCATAAATCCAGACTATCTATACTGAACTTAAGTGTTTCCCGAGCCAACACCCAAGAATCCCCACAGTTCCCCAAGATTCCTCAGAATTCCCAGGATTTCAGAAGATGACCCTGAGTGTCACCTGATTTTCAGGGATTCGAGTCAGTTCGAAGCCAGTCTGCAATCAAAGGAGAGAGAGAGAGAGAGAAGTAGCTAATAAAAACCAAACAGAGTTCAATTTTCCCTGTACTGCGCAAGTGACTTCGGCCAAGCCTGCCGACGGAAATCCGGAGGACCCGAGACTATGACCGCGGGATGCTAAGGGCACATCAACGGCGAAGGACAGTCGTCTGTGTGGACTCCATCAACTCAAGTCCAGTTAGGTGGGGACCAGCGACGGCTTTGAGCCTCCTGGGGTGATCCATCTATTCCATATCCTAGTTGGGTCACTTGCTGTGCTCGTGGTAGCCCATTTCATATTATTCCAGAGGGTATTCTGGGGTGCTAGGTAGTCGCCTCCAGGATTTTGTATTGACTGCTTGTGTGATGGGAAGGTAACTGATAGTGATTGTATTTTCCTCCTTTATTGGAGGTGGTGCGCGTTTGTGTGAGTCTCAGGGGAGCTAGGCCCCTGAATTTCAGACTCGAGTGAGCCTGACCCACCGTCCAAGGGTCCAAAAGAATAAGTGACGACTAGTTGTAGTGTTTATATACTCTGTATTTGTTGGATTTATCGAGCTAGGAGGGCATTTGGGTAAGGTGTCTTCTGAGTTCCAAGTCCCAGAGTTGACAGAAATCCTGGACCCTGAATTCGTGATATTCTGGGTTTCAGGGGATCTGATTTTCTGGGTTGCCTTTTGGTGTGGAAGTAGCGTTCTGAAGTAGACGTGCGCTCCCGCACTTCGTCGAGGCTACATTTACAACCGGTGGAGTGCCGTTCCGTCGAAGACAAACGAGCCGACAGGGATTACACAAGGTACCCACGCCAACCAAGGAGTGTGATTCTCAGTGTTTAAAGCTTTGCGGCTGCGAATCTCTGGGTCTATCTTCTTGCTGTTGACTCTCAAGTCGATTCTCTGGGTCTACACCCTGGGGAACAGTCTTGGGCTGCGCTATACGAACCCCCCTGGGCGACAAAGGTTTCATCGGCCTCGCCTCAGCTGGTGCGCGTGCCCGGATTCGATTGTCGAAGATTTCACCGGAATCAAGTGTTGAAGAAGTGTTGAGTCCGACAACTTCAAGCTACCAAGATGCCTGGAGGACGAGGGTGGACGCGGTGACGGAGGACGCGGTGCGGCGTCACGTCAGTCGCGTCGTGTTCAAGGTATGGAGCCTGAGGAGCACAAGGACCTGGAAACAGTCGTCCGCGACGCTCGGAAGGCGAAGAAGGCTGCTCGCGAGAGCGAGAGCGAGGCAGTGCAAGGTGGGGACGTCGAGGCGTCTGCAGTCCAAGGTCAGCCTGCTGCTGGATCACAAACTCAGGAGGAAGAAGTTTCCCCTGGGTTCCAAGGTTCGACGGAGGTGAATTCTGGGTCGCGGATTCCTGAAGTCCCAGAGGAGCACACCCGCGAGGGTGGTGCTCAGGCGTCTGAGGGAGGCGTCAATGCGGTCGAGCCCCCGGAGGTGATTGACTTGGTCTCATCTTCGGACGAGTCTGTTGTGGAAGTGAAGTCGGAGCCCGTGCGAGCGAAGGAGGAGGCGAAGACTCAGAGTTCCAAGGTGAATTCTGGGTTCGCACCACCTGAACCCAGAGTTTCAGCGCCAAGTTCGCAAGCGGCACCCAGGAAGACGCCTGAAAGCGACATCCGGGAAGTTGCTGCGCCTGCTCCGGAATCGGGAGCAGCGGCGTTGGACGCCGGGAGCATGGTGCTGTACGTCCGACGTGAAGTTCGACGCTGGGAAGAGGTGAATCCTGGGAAGGTGACGCCGCCAAGTGTCGTTTATGAGTGGCCGACTCCGAAACCGGGTGCCAACTCGTACTTCGCGGCCGCGTACGCAACAGGAGACTACCTCAAGTGGCGTTTGTCTCTGGAGAATCAAGATGAAGCCTGGATCTCTGAGTTTCACCTCGCCCGGTGGGGCGTCGGAACTGCTCAGGATCTCATGGCGACTACGACTCCCCAGAGTATCATGACCACCCGCGAGTGCGTCGCCATTCTGCAGACTCTGTTCTTCGAAGCCGGATTTGAGTTTGTCAATTTGACCCCTGGCTGGTCTTCGACGCGTGTTTCCAGGATTCCAGAAAGTCTGGTGCGCTCTGTCATGGAGGAAACCCAGAATTTCATCGCTGTGGAACTGGTCGAGTGGAGATTGGTGATAGCCGGTGTGCCTTTCAAGGTAAACTCTGAAGATCACGCCGCACCAAGCGCCCAAGAGCAAGCACCAAGACTGGACTACCACGAGGAAGATGGAGACGGTGATCTATTGATGACGGACTACGATGCGGATCTACTGGGCCGACAGTTTGTCCTGAGATTCAGAGTCACTGGACTCAGGATTTCACGGAGCCCACGAGGGTCGAGTGATGGTGCGCCACGATCCAAGCGTACTCAACATGGACCGCCTCGGCCACAAGTCCCGTCAACGCCATCCGCGCTGTCTACACCGTCGCTGTCCTCTCTTCCAGCGTACAAGTCTTCGACTGGTGCCTCGCTACAGAATTCCACTCCCCTGAATTCCATGTCCAATGGACGTGATTCTCTGGAGGCGGAAGCCAAGGACGCTACCCCAGGCGCGGTGCCAAGTGTCATCGGTACCTCGCGCGCTTCGGATGAGAGTACTGCCTCGGGCGTTCAAACGTCTTATGGTAGCTCTTCGTCTTCGTCGATGATGTCGCTTGGACAACGAGTTGGAGCTCTAGCGCTTGTGGCCCAGAGTGCCGGTGGCTTTGCAGCTGCCGGTGATCTTGGATTTCAGGTCACCCGGACAATCATCCCGTCGCGTATTGTGTCAGTCGACCAAGATGACGTTGAGATGGCATCGTCGGTGCACTCTGATCCAGAGATCGCACCCAGGAAGGCCGGTCTCCCCAGGATTTCAGCCACGACTTCCGAGCCGAAACTCAGGGTTTCCGCCCCGATTGCTGGATTTGGTGGTCCAAGGGATGTCAGCGCTGATGAGCGAAGTCAACACCAGAGCTCTAAGAGCGAGGTGCGCTCTCGACGCTCGACGAAATCCAGAATATCACCTGCGTCGAGCCGCTCGAGTGGATCCAGGAATCTTGGGTCAGTTTCGTCCGTGTCCGCGAGGTCTGGGCCCGCCCAAATCGAGCTGAACGTCTTGCGACAACAGCAGGAGTGGCAGGCCCGCATGGAACAGGAGCAACGCGAGTTTCTCGCCAGAGAACGCCTGGATGCCTTGGAGCGCGAGCGCCTCAGGGAATAACGTGACCTAGACGCGCGTCGCCAGATCCAGGAACTTACGGATCGCTTGGTCCACGCTGAGATCGCCCGAGGAGAAGCGGAACGGCGTGCGCAGGACGTGGAGGCTCGCCAGACCCAGAGTTTCACTGAAACTCAGGGGATGACCCAGAGTATCACGGAAGCTGTACGTCTTGAGCGTGAGCGCCTGGATGCCGCCTACGCCGAGCGCTGGCGACGGCACGAAGCCGAAGCCGACTCGGAGCGCGCGCGCTGGGTTTCCGAGACCTACGCCGGTTGGAAGGAACAAATGTCAACTGTGGAGCAGAAGGTCCAAGAACTTGAGGCGGAGAAAGAACGAGAGCGGGAGGCTTCCGAGAATATCCAGCGCTTCCACGCTGGCCAAGTGCGCGACCTTCGGGCAACATTGGCCCAAGTTCAAGCGCGTCGCGCAACCGTCGCCCCTGATTTGGCAACAAATGTGAGGTCGTCAGTGGCTCAGAATCCTGAAGTTGCAACCCGACCCCAAGAATCCAGTGGCGTAATCAACGGAAACGCAAGTGTCACAGGCCAGAGACGGGAGACAGCTGATCCGAAGAACACTTCCGAAGTCGCCGCCTCCCAGCTAAGAGCGACCCTCGCGCAGACTTCCGCCGACACTTCCGGCAGAATCGCGCGCGTCAAGCGGGGACATGGCGCTACGGAGACCAAGGTGACGAAGGATGTCAAGCTCGAGCCTGTGTCTCTGGGGAAGACGTCGGATCCCAGGAGAACAGCGACCTCTAAGGCCTCGCAGGACTCTAAAACAGACTCCAAGCGCTCTGCACCCAAGAAACACCAGCAGAAGAAGAAGCGTCAGGATGTCAATCCACCCTCGGACTCAGACCCAAGCTCCGATTCCAGCGACGATGGCTCGTCCTCTGAGAGTTCGGATGACAGTTCGGACGGGAACCCTGGGGTTAACCTGACGACGGCCTCTACGGCTCAAGCTGGCACTACGCTCCTGACGTTCAGACCGTACATCAACTCGAATACTCTGGGTGGGTTCGATACTAAGGCGTCACTCAGGGAACGCGTGCGTTGGTGGGGGCGTTTTGCGAACGTGGCGGCTCAGGGAGGTTGGTCTACGAAGATGCGAATTCAGGAACTCAAGTTGAAACTCTCGGGAGCTGCGCGTGACTGGTTCAACCAGTTGCCCAAACACACTCAGCGTGACTGGAAGGAGTTGGCGTCTGCATTCAGGAAGAACTACTGCAAAGCGCGCTCGTCGTACTCTGAACGTTACTTCACGATGGAGATGAAGAACTCAGAGAGCGCCCTGGATTTCTTTTATCGTCTGAATTCCGCCGCTGGGAAGGCTGACATTGACTTTCGCAAGTCTTCGAAGCGTCTGGAGAAACACATCCGGAGGTTCATCACGAAACTCAGGGACACGCGCCTCAAGACGTCGCTGCAGGGCCAGAGATTCAGGAGTATCGCTGATCTAGAGTACGCTCTGGAACAGGACGAAGATGTCTGGAGCCGCAGCGACCATGATGCTCCGCCACCCAGAGTTCGTGCATTCCTCAGGGACGTTTCAAGCAGAAGCGACAAGGACGTGCGTATGTGACTAGGGGCGATGTCTCTGACTCTGAGTCAGACGAAGACCCTGAAATTCACGCGCGTTTCCAGGAAATCACGGACGAACCCAGAGTTTCAGCCCGACGTGCGAGCGCGAATTCAGGGTCAACTCGTGAGATCTCTGGAGAAGAAGCTTCTACGCCTAGCGCTGGGAGTCTGGCGAGTATGAAGGGTGCCGAGTGGACTCAGACGCTGACGAACGAGGTCTATCGCGTGATGGATAACATGGGATGACGTCCACCGAACGCCCAACCAGGACCGAACGCGAACTCTGGATTCCGTTCCCCTCGCCGCGAAAACCCGAATTGGGACAAGTTCTGCGAGAAGTGCGGCAAGTGGGGGCACCCAGAGGGAAACTGCTGGAAAGACGTGAAGTGTGATCGCTGCCTGGAAGTGGGTCATCCGACTCACTTGTGTCGCGCGCAACCGTGCGAGAACTGTGGCAAACTGCATCTCGGGAAACCGTGTGAAGACTGGAAGACACTGGAAGCTGTGAAGAAACTCGCCCGCCAAGGTGCACTGAAAGACATGCCGAGCCAAATCCTGGATAAACTCCTGGATGGCGAAGCAAACTCTGGGAGGCCGTCAAACCAATAAGCCCGCTGGGTGGGGACCCAGTACGCGCCGGGCTGAAGAAGGCCCCAGAGTTTTGTGTTCTAGTGTATGTAGGCCCGGAGCTGCGAACAAGAACCCAAGATAACCAACAATGCATGACTACTTTGACTCAGGATTTCATGACTTCCCCGGAAAATCAGCATCCTGAACAAGCGAACTCTGGGTCGGTGAGCCCTGAAGAAATTGTGGAGTACAAGCCGAACCCTGGAGAGCGCTACGGATGGTGGGAAAACAATGATCCTGACCCAAAGAAACGTGATGTGGCGATGGTGCATGGTGCTGTGAACGACTGCCGGACGATAGTTCTCCTGGATACCGGTGCGACTGTGAATATTGTGAGCTTCGACTTAGCGCGTAAGCTCGGACTCACACTCAAGTCGCACAAGTAAACCAAGGTGTCTGGCATGGGAGGCGTTCCGACGTACATCGGTGCCAGTGCTCAGGTGAAGATTACTCTCGGTTCGAGGGTGATATATATCCTGGATGTCTGGATTGCTAACATCGGCGAAGGGATCGAAGTTCTTCTGGGTATGAGTTTCATGTTTGCAGCTGGAGTGAGGATCAGTGTTCGCGATGGTCTCGTGACACTTCCGATGAAGAGGTGATCATGATGTGTGGATGGACTCCAGAGGATCGCCTGGGTGTCGACATGCCCTTGGAAACCACAGGTAGTTGGTACCTGGCCCTTGGGGAATCCAAGGTGGTGAAGATTTCGTATGGACCGACGAACCCACAGCGTGAGGTTGTGTGGGCAGGACGAGGTGACCTATATATATTACGACCCGGATGAACGTTCATCCCAGGGTCCTTTAGGGTCCTTGGTCCGGCTTATTTTAGGTGTTCACGACCCCAATATCATTCATCCAGGGTCCTTCGTGCCCAAATTAGCTTATTTTGGCTGATTTTTTAATTTAGGCTCGGCGTCTGAGGTTCTCTAATAACTGATAGCGACTAAACCCTAAAGCTGATATTTTTTGTAGTACCGAACAAATTATTTAAAATATGTTGATATCAAACTATTCTTATTGGTCCTGTACAATATTTTACTCGTCATATCTAATCATTTTTAATGGCGTGTAAGACGCTGTATTTACATGTAACGCGGCTGCCCCCAGAAGCGAGTTTCGACACCACCAGGCGCATCTTCGTCGGGGAGCGAGCGCGCGTAGGTACCGATCATCACGCCGCGTAACCGCAGCTCGGCCGTACAAAGGCGCGCGTCCTTGGAGGCGCGCCGCATGTCAAGCGCAGAGTCGGCAAACTTAATCCCCCCCTCTCTAAGCAATGTTGGAGGTCTATGGTACTGTATGTCTGCATAACGCTTTGCGGTGGCGACATGGTGGCCGCCAGCAGCGACCTGGTGGGGCCAGCAGCAACATAGATGCATGCATTCTACACCCGAGAAAGCGACGCGGTGAGCGGAGCTGACTGCTGTGAACTGGTAGACCTGAGGGATGATACTGGCAGCGGCAGGCTGCCGATAGCCGCCGTTCTCGGCGGTGTTGGCCGTTCTACTTTACGTATGCAGTACCTACAAACTACCACGGGTCGCGTTGGCGCCTCAAAGCGTGGCGCTGGCGGCGGCCGCAAAAACACATTTTGGCACAGTTTCTAGATTTAGACTAGACCGCCGATACTGGCAACGGCAGGCTGCCGATAGCCGCCGTTCTCGGCGGTGTTGGCCGTTCTACTTCATGTATGCAGTGCCTACAAACTAATGCCGGTCGCGTGCGCGGCTCGAAGCGTGCCGGCGGAGCTGGCGGCGGCCGCGAACAACACATTTTGCCACATTATCTAGATCTAGACCTGAGGGTCGATACTGGCAGCGGCAGGCTGCCGATAGCCGCCGTTCTCGGCGGTGTTGTCCGTTCTACTTCATCTATGCAGTGCCTACAAACTAATGCCGGTCGCGTGCGCGGCTCGAAGCGTGCCGGCGGAGCTGGCGGCGGCCGCGAACAACACATTTTGCCACATTATCTAGATCTAGACCTGAGGGTCGATACTGCCTGCCGCTGCCAGTATCTAGAGTCGCCAGCAGCGAATTCTCCTTGCTGGAATATGCCGTTTGCTGCTGCTGTCGCCATTCTCGGACCATCAGCTGATTAAGCTGGCGGGCAAGGCAGCGCCTATCGTTCACGATCATCTGTAAACGCTCTAACTCTTGCAATCCATTGTCCAGACGTGTTGTGAGAGAATCGGTCAGCTTGCCAAGCTGTGCATGCGAAGCAGTGGGGGCACCTTCAACGCCATCAGTTCTGTCTTCGGCGCGAATAGCGCCCCTGTCGCGAGATGAGGCCTTTTGGGTTCGCTCAATGTAGAGGAATGGTTGTGGCTTCGAACCTGCATGGCCCCCCTTAGAACTCTCTTTCTTAATGTTGCTGGGACGCTTTTTGGAGCGTGATTCGTGCTTGGATTTCTTTCCTTCTCGCAGCCGCAGTCGATGACAAGCAAGCTTCACTTCCGGTGTTGCAACTTTTTGCATGATAAGGACACTGCGCTTCACAAGTTGTTCATCTTCGGTGCCCATATCGAGCCCTCCATCGCTCGCAATATCGCAACTATTTGACCCAGAAATGCCAGATACTTCGTTCAGGAGGAGTACTTGATCCTGCGAGTTAGTCGAAGCGTGCACACGGATAAAATCTCCAACATATGCGTGACCCACGTGATTAAATGCTGCCAAACCATCCGAATTCAGTGTTAGTTTTCGGTCAGCGCGTACAAATAGAAAAGTATGTGCAAACGACGTACACAAGAGGAGTTCAAACGTAGCGTTGTCCAGGCTGCTTGAAAATTCCAACATAAAGAATGATCTGTTCACGTCATTACAGCGAATGCCGAGGACATACCGTTTGTCCGAGCTTTCTTCACACATGCACCACCTGACATCGAGGATACACGTAATACCGGCGTTAAAAGCTTTCTGTTGAGCCACGAGCACAAAGCTTTAGGATTGTCAATGATGAATACAACGTACATTTCGGCCGGTTGTGCAGACAGCATATAGGAGGCCAGCAGAATGTCATTTGTGTGCACATAGATCGTATTGCTGGAAGCCCCAGTGACTACCAGCGTCGATACACTCGTATCCGTGATTGCAGCCCGATACACTGTACCTTTATCCCAATACATGAATGAAGACGCCATTGTAGAAGATGAAGCTGTGAAGTCCCACTGGTTCAACTCCGAAATAAAGCAACAACAGGTCACTTGCTCCGGCTTCCACAAAACTCCACTACACCCGGGTACCGGCAAATATCGACATTCCGTTGACCTCCCATCGCCACAATGCTCTTGTTCATCCTCAACATCAAGGACAAACCAAGTATGGTTCTCACTGCTTGTTGTATCACAGAATACATACACAGACATCAGATACACAGAGAATCACAACTGGAGGATGAAGATCAACTTCAACGTACCTATCGGTGGAAGGGGATGGTTGCAATCGCTGGACATGAATCAGCAAATGGGGCCTGGTGCAATACGCCTCACTGATGTACGCGCATGACACAACTTCACTTGGTGCCAACGCATCGCCCCCGATGCCATTCATCACGTCAACTTGTTCTCGCCAGATGCAAAACCCAACGTCCCCACCTCTTATTTTGATCATCTCCCATAGCTCTAGAGCAGACATCGCACACCTCGTTGACATCGTCAACCGTGCACGGAAAACCCGAACCATCCATTGCCTCTTGTAGTCGTTGCCTCCTGCAGCGGATTTTATCTAAAAGGAATGCCCGTAGCGTACTAAGGGCTTGATATTCGCCCTTATTGCTCGATGACCCCACTGTCAAATGCTTCGAAAAGCGCTGGAAGTATGTTTCACTGTATATGGTGACACATTTTGCTGGCTTACCATCACGCCCCGACCGACCTGTCTCCTGCGCGTAATCGGTCAAGCTGTGGGCTAGTCCAAAATGTAGTACGGTTCGAACGTTCGGGTAATCCACACCCTGACCCAATCCACACGTCGCAACAATATACGAGCAGTTAGGGGACTTCCACAATGACAAAATATTCTTGCGCTCATCGAAAGTCATTCCACTATGATACCGGGCGACCACGTTGGACGTATGGCGCTCTAAATAGTTTGCAATTTCTTCGACCTTCGGCTTTGTCAACGCAAAGACAATGCCTTTGTCAGGATGTGCCATAGGAAGTTTGATCAATGATAGACATGCCTTCATCATATCTGTATTCGATAACAATTCCACCACTTCGTAACGTATTGACTATCGGACTGTCGGCGTTCTCACAGTGACGAAAGGGAAGCCACAAATTGTCATGAGGTCATTTTCCCAAGTGGGGGGAAGAGTTGCCGTCAGTAGTGTCTTCTGGACCGAAATGGACGATGACACATAGACGAATGACATGCACCTGCGGTAATCTTGCGAGGTCATAACCAAGTGAGCCTCGTCAAAAAATATTCTGCTTAGTTTGTCCTGCTCCTGTAGCGACAGTAGGAACGTCCGGAAATTTTGATGCTCCAAGTACGTTACTCGGACGAACAAAATAGACGGTAGCGCTGTGAAAGGACTCGTATCGTGTTGATACTCAGAGCACTCGATTCCCAATTGTTCTGTCTTCCGAAGCGAGTCCAATAAAAGTGCTACCATAGGCACCACAACAATAACAACACGCATAGAATCCGAAAATGCGGCCAAATGAAACAGCAAGGACTTCCCACCATTTGTAGGGAGTACAACGAGTAAATTAGAGACGCTCTGCAAAACCAGTGTCGTTGCAACACACTGCTCTCTTGACCGAAACGAAGCGGTGTGGTCACGAAGAAATGATCGGAGCAAAATCCGAGCTGACCCAAAGTGTTCCGGAAGTAAGCTGCTTATAGCTTCGCCAATAGTAAAAAAGCTGAACGTTGGTACGACAACTGTGATTGGGCGTCCGTGCGGAGCAGGTTGATTGAATCTTGAAACTTGCTGCACAGGTGACGTCGGCGAACTTTTCCTCCTTGGCATTATCTCGGATTGGTCACTTGGGGCGTAACAATTGGTACTGGTCGAGTTACCAGGTCCGAGAAGTTTATGCCACTGGTGGGAACAATAAACAAATTCGGCCATATCATCGCGCGACATAAAATACGGATCCGTGGTAGAACGGCTATACAACGTCGAAGCCGTTGCCGGTGCATGAGCGGCTTCAAAATCAAAAATGTCCTGATTCGCTCTTGTTGATGTAATGTTCTTCTCCATGAATGCGATCGCGACGTGTCTGTAAGTCCGAACAGAAAGTTGGTTACCGCAACTTACAAAATTCATGTTTATTGCAGCACGGCAACCTTTCCCATTCAGTCTGCCCTGCCCTGTAGTGCTGAAGAGATAGTAGAACAAAGCGTCACCTTCTCCAGAACGGTCCGAAGTAAAGCCCCCACGTTGTAGTTGAGTGAAGAAAAATTATTGTGCCGGACGCACAAGGGCAGCATAGATCACAAAATCTAACGTCAACTCCGGCGGCAGGAATCGCGCAATTAAGCGATGCTGTCCCGATATCGTCAGACCTTTATGATATCTTTGTATGATCATGACTTCACGGTTCAAAATATATACCGATCGTTCCCCAGAAACCGTGTTTCTTAAAGTCGAAGCGCTTAGCTCGGCAGCTTGTGATGGCTGCCCTGACGTGATATAAATCAGAGGTGCAAGAAGCTTCGTGAGCTTATCAACCTTTTTGCACCACTGGGACAGCGAAGCAAGTCCAAATGTGATTTCACCATTCACCACCTTGACGAGAAGAAGTTACTTAACCAGATGCATACGCATCGATTTCCATGGATTCCTGTCGTCTTCAAAGAAAGCTGTATCCATAGCTATAATTGCTGTAGTCGTCGTAACAGCACTACTCATCCGACATTAAATGTTTTTCAACCACAGATATATTGTAGCCCAAAATCACATTTTCACGAAGCACCTTACCAAACTGGTCGACAAGCTTTGCTTTTAAGTCGTGAAGCGTCTTCAAGATAACACAATGGCCTTCAACTAGGAGCGCATCATGCGCCGATCCCAGCCACATGATTTGAGGAATTCGCCGTTGCTCAGGTGCCATGGCGACGCTTGAGCCAAAACTTATAACTTCCTGCAACAGATTAAAAGGAGTTCGATACCCGGTCCTAAGATAAAAACGTAGCGCCTCCGCCCTTTTTCGCGTCGCCAAGTTTTGCTCGTTGGCTTCCACACCCCACGACAGCTGATGAAGGTTCATCAGAGCAGCAATTCGAGCCCAATACTATATATTAGCGACTAAACTAGTCACTTGACCTGGTTGTTTAAACTGTACGTAGCCAGCAGCATCTTTTGTCGGACCACTGATAGAAGAGCATACAACAAATCGATGAGTTGGAAATGCATGAAACTCGCTTGGGGAGTGTTCATTTTCCAAATCAATTCGAAAAATCTTTTCAAGGGCACCATCTAGCAATACAAGTTGGTCGACACAAACATGCTCCGCTCTGTAGTGCTCAGTGGAGATCGACGCGAAAGCTTCGGAGCACGATTGGAACAGAGATCCACTTGATCAGCCAGATCATCATCTGTAGAAGAGTTTGAGGTAATAATGTAGTGCTGGGCATGTGTGTTAACCATCTGCAGTAGCGAGGTCATGGTCTTGCAGTACTTTTCGGAACTTGATTGAATGCGTCGCAAAGCCGATGCTGGCTCAATGTCACTTCCTTTTGACGACAGAATGCGCTCAAGCAAATACTCTCGGGTGCCAATAATTTCTTGGTTGAGCTCCCAATACCGACACACAACCGGAAACACTAACTCAACAAAGCTTGAGTTGGGATCAAATTTAACCGAGGCAATGGCTTCAGAAACTTTATCCGTGCAATATGTACGAACAACCTCGTGCCACTTCATCCGGCGAAGGAAAGGTGGTACGAGGCGATCGTCCGTGGAAGCAATATGCAAATGAGATCGTGAAAATTCACTTAGAGCACGGTCCACTGCATCTGAATCGTCTGCATGCGTTGAGAAGCTGGCACCACCTTGTACGCCGAAATATTTTGTCTTTGCACCTGAATAAAGTGATTGCACCAAGCACTGAAGTTGCGATACGTCGGTGGTGAAATCTTTATGCTTCGACTTTAGATGCCTCGACATTGTGTCTTCAAGTGGGCAGAAGTATGCGCAATCGAGACATCGCACACCGGAATTTATCTCAATTCCGTCTACTCGCTCCAATACCTCCTGCGTTGGTTTTAAATACTTGAGAAGAGATGCTCCTGTCGCCAACGAAAGTACGTCAAATTTTTTCTCCTATAGTTTGGCCGGAACGGCCACATCGTGAACTCGTTTAAAGTGAATAGCCACTTCCTTTACACCAGGAGATAGTACGTAGCGACAGATAGCACATATAACCAGTCCAAGCTTCATGTTGTACTCAGTCCCATCTCATGTACCATCGTAGCAGGGTTGCACATTTTCGCCGATAAGTTTCGATCATTTTGCAGTGAATTCTTGCACGACTTGGTGTGTTGGCGCAAAAGTTTGGGATCGCTCGAGAAATATTTGCATTGTGGGCATTTGAATACACCTTCTACGCGTTTGACCAAGTGCGTAATAGGATGATTACCTACATCGTAAACCACACACTTTGCGACTTCTCGGTGCTTATTATGGACGTGATATCGTCGTGCTTCTTGCGAGGCTAACTCACATGAGCATTTTTCGCACGTAAACAACCCGCCATTTCTGACCTCTGACTGTGGTATGATGTGCCACCTTCCCACGCCACAACCACCACGTCGCCTCCAGAAAACCCTCACCACAACGTAATACGAGACAACACCACTTATGCCAACACCAAACTCCACCGAAACTCGTACGAAAAGTCACACAGAGTATATCAACTCCTTTATGCGGTATTGCCGCACCACGGCCTCCGAAACACTAGTGCCTTCAACTGCCACTAATCCACCGTCGAGGTTGAAATAAAATGATGCCCCAGTACTTCCACACAGGATCCACAATCGTCCAGCCACAGTAAAAGAGCGATAGCTTTGTTAGCGCCGAAATACCAATTATATGTAGCAGGCGAGATGGTCAATAGCTTAACTGGCAGGGGTGTGAGGTGTGGGGCTCGGATACTTCTCTTCTGTTGTTCTCGTCCAGAGTGAAAATGTGTTGCGTGCAGCCTATTGGTTGAACAAAGTTGTTACATCGTGTTCTGAACTTTTGTCTCACCACTCGCATACATTTGTGGTACACACTAAAATCGTGTATGCAACACAACTTCCAACCTTTCTAAAGCAGTACTGCGTTTTTACAGTACATGTTATCAGTATGAATTCAAAAATAGCATGTGTTAATTAATAATCTGAGTCCGACTAGTTATACAGGAATAATAATATTTACCGGTGGGCATGGCTGCTAGATAGCCCTCAGGCGATTATATAGCGTGCTCCCACAAACCCTCCCGTTACATTTAGCACAAATAGTATAATCGACACAACCGTTCGGGCATCGATACTTACCCGAAAGTCAAATATGCTCGTGTCGATCTCAGGCGCAGCTCCGTCCCACCACCACCGGCCGCCACCCCTTGCCTCAGAGTGATTGGCCGTGTGGTTGACCTATATGTAATCATTTGAAGGGTAAAGTCGGTCAAATCCGCTCGTGCTTGTGCAGCTCGCACGCGGCATGTAAACGGAGGTCTGGACCACGTTGCATGTCCGGTTATAGCGTCATCAAGAGGCAGCACACACGAAGTCGACACATCTCATGGTAATACGCTCAGGTGCAGCTCCAGCTCACCTCCATCAGCCAGCTGCCCCTGCCGCAGAGTGCCTGTCCGCCTCGATGAACCTATCCGACGCTACATCGTGGTCGGTGAGTACGCCGCGGTCTGGAAGCGACTCGTAAGCGTTTAGTCTTTTTCGTGATGGTGCCGGCAAACCCGGTGTGCGGACTACAGCCCAAAGAAGTAATATCGACCCTCCTGTGGGATAGCGCATGCCTTGTAGAGCCGTACGCGAGATACAACTTCGATCCAGTGGGTTCCCGCATGCCTCGTCAAGCGGCCGGAGACTAGCAGCTACCTGTGGGGTTCGATCACTTTGCCTTAGTGCGGTCCCTTGACCTGTCGAGTAATTGCGTTCGGTGTCGCGTAATTGTGTAACGTGTCGAGTAATTGTGTAACTTGTCGACGAACTCGAGCAATAGTAACACACTGGATCGAAGTTGTATCTCGCGTACGGCTCTACAAGGCATCCGCTATCCCACAGGAGGGCAGATATTACTTCTTTGGGCCGTAGTCCTCACACCAGGTTTGCCGGCACCATCACGAAAACGCCTAAACGCTTACGAGTCGCTTCCAGACCTCGGCGTACTCACCGACCACGATGTAGCGTCGGATAGGTTCATCCAGACGGCCAGGACTCTACGGCAGGGGCAGCTGGCTGATGGAGGTGGGCTGGAGCTGCACCTGAGATGGCCACCTCGGCAATCTCGCGTTACGACCGTGCTAGCGGGCGCACCAACCTCCCCGCCCGTCGCCAACACGGTTCGCGAGGGTTAAACACGCTGGGGACGCGTCCGAGGTGGCGGAGGCAACCCTGGCGACCGTGTCAGATATACCCAACGAACCTCGTGCGGGGTCATTCAACCCTGGCGATGTCGGTGGGGGGAATGAAGGCCACCCGCGGCGATCGCACGTCGTTTCCGGACTGCGGCGTAGCCCACCACCAGTGGCTACACGACCCCTAGCGATGGCACCAATGGCACGTTGGCGGTAGATTAGAGCGGCAATGGTATCGGCATGACTAGCCACATCCGATGAACCATCGCATGCAGCCTGCAACCGCGTGAAGGCCTCGGTCCCGATTCTCGCCTTGCCCACCAGCAGCCCACCACCAGTGGCTACACGACCCCTAGCGATGGCACCAATGGCGCGTGGGCCGTACATTAGAGCGCCAATCGTATCGCCATGGCTGGACACACCCGGTGAGCCACCCAACGCAGCCTGCAACCGTGCAGAAGGCCTCGGTCCCGATTCTCGCCTTGGCCACCAGCAGCCCACCACCAGTGGCAACACGACCCCTAGCGATGGCGCCAATGTCTCGTTGGCCGTAAATTAGAGCGCAAAGAGTATCGCCATGACCGGACGCATCTTGTAATGGGCCTACTTTTGCTCACTACTTTAGCTTACACGTGTGCGCGTGTATGTGAGGAAGCGTAGCCTAGTTTAACTTAGAGTTAAATATACTCGGGTCTCCGAGTATAGATTAATCTAAATAAACGATCCAAATAATGTTTTTGGGTTAAAATGAGAACTGCTATTTTTGTTTTATGTTTCTGACTTCCTCTAAATGTAATATTCTAAGATAGGAATCTGCCAACGGCTGGTTGGCAGCATTCCTACGCTATGCATGTCGCTCATTGGCTAAAAGATGCTGCTTTCAGCCAATAGGAATCCTAAGTCTCTATGAACCACCCCTCGTGGTGATCGTAAATGTATGCAGCCTTTGGTGTGTCTACACCAAAGTCGAGAAAGTCTTTCGAACCTCTAACAGACGTCGTGACTGTTAGAGTTACAAGTGACTGTAGCCACTTGTGCGTGTAACCCTGTTACACCATCCCCCCGTCAAGGTTAGACGCGCCGAGACACGGCACGTCAATCGGGAAATTGACCATTCGTCAATTTTTCATATTGGGAGAAAGAAAACTCGAGCTCATTCCGCAATGAGCTCGTCTCAGAAGAAGACCGCCGCCCCAACAGAGGGTAAGCTCTCTGTTGCTCAGTACCATGAGCGCCAGCAGGCAAAGCGCGATGCGCTCGCGGCAAAGGCCGCGTCGGGGACAACCCAGTCGGAGATTGTCCTCGAAGGTTCCTCTGTAGTCAACGACGCCGTTGACTACGGGGATGATGACGTGGAGATGGAAGAGGGCGAGGCCTCTTCCAACAAGCGCAAAGAGTCTATCGACAGTGATAGTCTCGACTCGCATACCGGGTCAAACGCCCTCGTGAAGGAGACGATTCGGACGCTTCAAGCTCGAAGCGTTCGCGCGGCGAAAGCGACACTCCGCTCTCCGCTGCTGGGGCTTTAAGCTCCCCGCGTGAGGTGGGTCTTCAAGTTCTCCGCGCGCTGCTCAGGCAGCGCGCGATCCGTGGATGCTATCTGCGTCATAGATCGCAGACCGTGTGGGCAACACCGTGCCTCCAACTGAAATCCCGCTGTAGGTATGCAGCGGGATCCACGATGATGCTGTGGCGGAGGAGCAGCACTTTGATCCGTTAACGAATCAAAGGCGCGATTACTATATCGGACTCTTTCAGGAGCTCCGATACTTCTCCAGCAAGAATACCTCTTCTCGCAGCAAAGTGCCTGAGTGGCAGGCACTTTGTCAAAGTTGGAATGCTTTCGTTGAGAACTTCAACAAGAAGCCGGCTGCTTACCGTGAGCGGGTTAAGCATGCCCGTGAGCGCTTCGAGACATTCTCGACGCGCGGGAGGCTGGAGCAGCTCCACAGATCCTCTGTGGACGCTGGTATTCCATGCGCTGTGCCCGAAGGCCATCAGTGCACGTTGTGTCTTCCGGGTGCGGGTGCGCTTGAGCGACCGCGACCTAAACGGGTACACGACGATTCGTGTACCTGAGAGTCTCAAGGATCTCCGTGCCAAGTTCTTGGCACGCGAGGAACGCGACGATCGTGGGACCTCGGGCGCTGTAGGTGACCACAGCGCTCGCACTACCTTCGCGTCGGCAGCGCGTGGTGAGCTTCGTACGCCCTCACCATTTCCGGAACGTCCTGCAGCAGGACGTCCCGTGGCTCCCATGTATCTTGGTGGGGCGGAAATCCTCTCCAACGAATACGATAACGAACCGGTTGCCGGTTCGTTTTCGGGATACTATGGTCCACAATACGCTCAACAATCCAGCGTGTTGAGCCGCGGGCGTCGCGGATCGGAGGCGGCGGTGGTGGGAACACGCCCCGGGTATGATCAACCTGGGATTGACCTTGGCCCGACCCTCGAGGAGCGAGTCGCTGCTGTGGAGCAGCTTCAGAGCCGTGAGTTCGCCGCTCTGAAGCAGGAGATGGCGACCCTGACAGCTCAAGTTGATCAGGCCTCGCAGAGCGCGTCGGACATCTCTATCGACGTGGGAGGTCGCGTCGTGCGCTCGTCCCAACGTGTTCACGCGCTGGAGCAGAGGTTCGCTTCCGCTGGGGCTTCCGCTTCGGGCCAGCCGAGCTAGGTGGCTCGTGCTGCCAGTATGGCTTCAGCCGCCTGACGTAAAAGGTTGGACGGAGGCGCATGCTAGATGGAATATCTAGCATGTAGGCGTTGCCATGTTGTGCCAACACTGTGAACGGCCCGATGAAGCGCGGAGCGAGCTTGCTCGCCCCGAAGTCGGAAACTGCATGTTTAGGCAGGTTTTGAGTTGCTAACAAAACCAATGAACCTTTCTTGAATTCATTAGTGTTGCCCCTACCAACATTGTCTGCGTTCAGCTTCTGTCGGTCGACAGAAGCTGCGATAGCGTCTTGGACAAACCGAATGACAGCTTGTCTGCGCTGCACGAAGTTGATTGCGTCCGAGCTGAACTCGTTCAGCTCGTTTCTAGCAGTAGGCCCGGCCTCTGCGTTCGTCTTCACGGTGTCTGTGTTCTGCACAGACCCGTTCTTCTTCTTCTTCTTGCTCATGTCGGCGTCTGTGCCCTGCACAGACGCGTGCTTCTTCTTCTTGCGCGTGGTCGCGGCTGACACTGTGCAAGTGTCAGTGGCATTCTGCGGCTGCTGCGTTGCAGTCGTAGATCCTCCCCCACTTAAGGAAAGAGCCACCATCCTGAGTAGACTCGGGAGGCGTGGGTGCCTGATGGCATTCACGTAGAACGGTGTATGCCCGGTCGAGGCATGCACGGAGTTGTTGATGGCGAACTCCGCCATCGGCAGGCAGTCGCTCCAGTGTTGGAACGAGTGAGCGTACCTCGTAAGCACGTCTACGAGCACGCGGTTCACGCGCTCGGTCTGCCCGTCCGTCTGCGGATGGTCCGCAGTTGACATCGAAAGTTGACTCCCAAGAAGTGTAAACACTTCTTGCCAAAGGTGTGCAGTAAAGCGCGGGTCTCGATCCGACACAATGTCGATTGGCATGCCATGGTGTTTGAGCACCATGTCAACGAACAGACGAGCCGTCTGTTTCGCAGTCACTTCAGCGGGTACCGCAGCAAGATGGTACATCTTGCTGAAGCGGTCAGCAAAGACCACAACGCCCGTGTTCCCCTGGCTGTCCGGGGGAAGACCGAACACGAAGTCCAAAGACATGGACTGCCAACACTCCGACGGAGTCGGCAGTGACTGCAAGGGAGCCCGCGCAGAAGGCGCAGGCTTCACACGTTGACAAACCTCGCAAGCACGGACGTACTTGCGCACCCATTTATACTGGTGGGCCCAGTAGAAGTCCCGCGTGAGAAGAAAGTATGTTTTCTCACGGCCCGAATGCCCCGCAGTCGGTGCATCGTGATATTCATACATGATCCTGAGTCGCAGGTGGGCACGACAACGCGGTCCGCGTTGTCGTCGACTGCACTGTAGAGTAATAACCCGTCGTGCACCCGGTAACGGTGTGCACGAGCACGAAGATGCTTCGGCAGCTTCTGACGAGCATTGTCAGAAGGTGCTGAGCCATAGGCCAGCAAGAGCTTCGCGTCCGCGTCGTGCGCGTACGCGACCTTCACGTCCTCCAACAGTGACGACATTGGGGTGCTCGATCGCATGGCGTCAATGGCATTGACGTCGGCATCAGTCGTGGCGTAGTCAGGTCGACGCGAGAGCGCGTCGGCCACCACATTGAGTCTTCCGGGTTTATACTCAACCCGGAAGTTATACTCTACGAAGAATGAGAGCCATCTCGCCATCCGTTGCGAGATATGCGGCGACTTCACAGCCGTCCGCAGCGACGCGTGGTCCGTATAGACCTCGAACGGTTTGCTTCCGAGTAGATACACTCGGAACTTCGCGAGTGCGTACTTCATGGCAAGGAGCTCCTTGTCATGTACCGGGTAGTTGCGCTCAGCTGGCTTCAGCTGACGCGATTGGTAGTAGACGACACGATCAAGGCCCTCGTGATCGTGCTGCATCAACGCACATCCGATTGCGAAGTCGGATGCGTGACACACAACGTGGAATGGGCGATCTTGGTCGGCATCCGCCAAGATCGGCGCCTCAGTCAAGCCCCGCTTGACTGCATCGAAGGCCTGCTGACACTCAGCAGTCCAAATCCACTCGGCGTCCTTCTTCAGGAGCTGTGACAGCGGGCGTATCATGCCCGCGTAGTCCTTCACGTACTTGCACAAGTACGTGGCCAAGCCAAGGAACTGCCGCAGCTCCTTGACGTTCGACGGCGTCAGCCACTAATTGATCACTCTGACCTCCTCAGGGTCAGGGCGGACACCGTTCTTCCCAACGAGACACCCGAGCACGGGTATCTCGCTCACCCCGAAGATGCACTTCTTCAGGTTTGCATAGAGCTTTTGCTTGCACATGAGCGCAAGCAGCTTCCGGAGATGCACCTTGCGCATCTCAACATCACTCATCCCGTCTGCAGCCCGGCTGTGGACGAACACATCGTCGAAGTAGCTCGGTGCGAAGTCGCGCACCGAGCGCAACAAGTGCGTCACGCACCTGTTGAAGGTCGGAGGGGCGTTCTTCGGCCCCTGCGGCATCACCAGCCACTCCCAGAGTATGCCGCTCGGCGTGCTCACAGCCGTGAGAGGGATATCGCTCTCACGCATGAGGATCTGATAGAATCCATCGCGCAGATCATGAGCACTGTAGATAGTGCTCCTGGCCATCGAATCGATGATGACATCTTTTCGAGGTATCGGCGTCTGCGCCGGTATCGTCGCATCGTTCAGCTTGTTGTATGCATGAACGATGCGCCAACCGCGCTGTGGCTTCTTGGCACAGAACGTCGGAGCACTGTGCGGGGACTTCGACTCCCGCACTTGTCCAGCTTTGCGACGACTTTCGAAGAAGTCGTCGATCGCTTTGACCTGCTCTCGCGGCAGTGGTCAATGCCGCGTGACACAGTACTTCGTCCCCGGCACGAGATCAATCTCGTGCTGGATGCC